ATCCATACATCCATCCATCCATCCATCAATCCATTCCAGCCATCTTGGACTGGGCAATATTGGGACATCTCTGGCCTCAAAAAATCCCTAGCCCAAGCCTTCCTGTGACGGTGAGCCAGGGATGAGTTCTCGGTGAGACACATAGAACACCTCCTCATCCAGGGTCATCGTCCTAGGGAGGCTCCAATGATGTTCATTTTTGCCCCAGTACAAGTCAGATTTAGAAGAATCACAAAAGGAATAAAATTCGTCCTTCTGTGAAAAGGATATCCCAAGCAGAAACGACCCCATTTTTAAGACACCTCTCCCACTTTCATGAAACGTCATCTTTTTTTTCTGTGAATCTGAGAGAAATGATTGAATAGCACACACCATCCTTGGGAGACACAGCGTAAGAGTGCCACCCAGAGCTCTTTTTTCGGAAGAGCAGCTCCTTACATTATGGATGTGGTGTCAGTGCTTGAGGAGCAGAGAATAGTGAGATTGAGAGACTTGCCAAACTTCAACATTTCCACCGAAGCTGAAAGGGAGGCCTTCAGCAGGTGTCGTCTTAGCTGTCGGTGCTGAATAACGTCTTTGCCCCAAACCTGAATACGTGCAATACTGAGGACCGTCGTTCCCTTCCAGAGCAAAACCATAACTAAATAAAACAGCTTTGAATCTCTTGTTATGTGAACCATGCTCATGGGAGTTTTACTTAGACAAAAATGTTCTGAGGGCAGAACAAAAAAATGATTGGTTCAGAGACATAACCAATCAGATTGTAGAGGAGGTGGGTCCAAGGAACTAGAGAAGGTGGGACCAACCCAATCAGATGTCTTGGTCCCGCCTCCTCTAGTTGCTTGGACCCACCTTCTCTACAATCTGATTGGTTATCTCTCTAAACCAATCATTTTTTTTGTTCTGCCCTCAGAACATTTTTGGCCAAGTAAAACTCCCACAAGCTGTGAACCACATCTAGGCGATGCATGGACAGAAACAGTTGAACAGAGAATCCATACAAACGGCTGACAGTGACACAGGGAGGCCCTGCTTGCCTCTCAAGGTAGGTGTTTTGATAACCTGCTGCAGTGTGGCAAAGAATCTGTGCCTTTCCATAAGCTACCTTTTAATTCATGATACTCATACATCTTGCAGAAGATGACAGCCTTGGGTTTTGAGCCTCATCAGCAGTCCTTAGAGTAGCTGCTGTCGAATTGCATTCTGGGAAAATATTGCTGGAGGGCAGGAGCAGAGCAGGGCAAACGTAAGGTAATCTCCAAATCAGACCCGCGAGCCTGTTGTTATTGCCAGCTTTGTGAAGAATAAGAACCACAATCTGGGAGATTTTTAAATGTCTGTCGCGCTTTTTACCTCTGATCTTTTCCTCCGTTTTCCTCTCTTACATTTTCATCCATGTGGGAGATTGTCCAGGAAAGCCATCTTCCTGAAGCGTGTCTGCGTGCTTGTGCTGCACGCAGCCTCAGGAGCCGGTGCTGGGTGCTGAGCAGCCCCCGCGGTGGACTAATTGGGTGTCAAGTAGACCATGGATGTGCCTTGGAGGGCTGGTAGGGGAGCTGGCTTCCCACCAGAGAATCAGGACGTGCACAGAAGGGTCCTTCTTATTAACAGCAAGAGGAATGAATCCAACAGGAACACAGCAAACGGCTCCTGCCTGTGGCCCCAACTGGTTCCCCAGCAGCAATGCAGGCCATCGTGCCGGCCAATCAGAGCCGTTGCTCATCTCCCACGGCAACTAACACGGCCGCATGCCATAGCACGGCAGTATAAAGGTCATCCTACTGTTGTTCTGCAGGTCAAAGGTTAACTGTTTACATGCACAGTTCATGAATACAATGTAACATAAAAAGACTGTAGAGTAAGTGTACAGTTAGTAGATAAGGACCTGTGCATTGAGAGAAGCCCAACATGTGTTTCATTTTGCATTGTTCTGCCAGAAACTGTACACCCTCAGTTATAGGTGGTGCAGCATAATATTGTACTACAGTTAAATCTCATGCAGTGTATTGCTCGTGCCACAAACTCCAGGCAAAGGTGGTGAATATAAGGAGTAAGGCATGTGAACAAAGCATCAGAGCAGTGTTCTACGTTACACAAATGCAAGCAGGGTCATTTGCAGTAATAATCTGCGGCTCCTCCTGCTGCACTGAGGCTGTGTTCTTCATACTGCGCATTCCTGAGCACTGCGCATTTTGCACTGCGCGCTGACTCGGCTGGGCACGGGGAGGCTTGGCAGCACCGTTAATCACTGCACCTGATGCCTCCCGCAGGCGAGGAGCTCCATGAGCATGGGGGGGGGGGGGTTCAATCCCATTTGTTTGTCTCCATGTAAAACCTACTGGTTGAAAAACAGCTTCAGCGTGCAGTTGCCCCTGGGGAGGGGGGAGGGGTTTGGCAGCGGAATGATGTAGCAGGCAACTTTTGCGGAGCAAGAAATTTTTTTACCGTAGCCTCCCGCAGATGCAGCTGTCATGCGCTCCTGCTGCCGCCGCACTTTCCTAGTTTGTTCTGTGCAACTGTGCGGCATGAGTGCACTTATGTGACAGCGTCCTGCTGAGAACTTAAACCATGCAGCTGCATGATTTACAAATATGCAGCATGATCCAGGAGATCAGATCAGTTTGTTTACCCCCTGCTTGCAGGGTAATAGCTTATGATTGGTATGTTTGGTTATGTGTGCAAAAGTGGATGCTGCAAGACATGCAAATATTTTACCAAATCCATTCCTCCTAGCCTTTTAAAAGATAACAGAAATGCATAATATTATTTTTGTGTAAATCCTTACATGAGAGAAATATATCACCTTCGCCCATAATTGCACCTCTTTCAGCATCATGCACACTTTGACACGAATATTTTAACTTAATGCAGTAAATAAAGTGTGACAATGCTGCCCTCTAGTGCTGAAAAGGTAATATAAGACAGGCCTTGCAATATTTACTTATACCACAATATATTTATTCCCTTATGTTGCATATGTACTTATATATCCTACATAATTCTATTCAGCTCTATGTGAACAAATTAATACAATATCAGTAAGGTTTTCAGGTTTTGGCTCAGTGTTATTGCAAAGTGAAGCATATGTTGTCTCACATTAGAACAACAGCTGGTCTCTCTCTAAAAATCACCACAATTACATTTTCTTTTCCCAAAATATGGTATGATTTTCTTCAGCAGGAAAATCAGAACGATTTTGCTTAAGCGTGAGCAAAGACGAACAATCTGGTTACAGTGCTCAGAAGCAATTTCTCCAAATTACACCTTCAGCTGTCAGCTATCCTATTTATATATCAGTGTATCTGCTGCAATTTGTTCCCGGCTGCCCTAAAACCTGAGGGCCTGGTGCTGAGAATTGAAATCCAAAGAGAATCACACATGATTGACTATTGGACTGAATTGAAGAGTGTAATTAGACAGAGCCAGGCATTCTCTCACAGAAATGGCGGGGATACCTTTCGGCGTCCGTACATCATAATTACAGACTGCATCATTAGTGTCCCATAGAGGACTGGAGACTGCGCTCATTTTGATCTGATATCTGCCTGCAGCACAGGTGTCAATCGCAAAGTCATTTACAGCCACACTTATAATACAAAAGATCAATTGTTCACAACTTCAAAAGTTTACGATATTTAAAAAAAAAACCAACAAGGATTAACACGCCTGTCCCTTAAAATGACCATTCAAAGCCAGCTTCTCCAGATGTACCAGTGTGAGGTTTTTTTTCTGGTGGCTGGAGTGCCAGTGCCCAAGTTAATCCCTTTAAGGTGGAGGACCTCCTTATAGAGCTGGATGTAGATTAACATCATACCCAGGATGATGCAAGTGCTCAAGGGCCCAACGGAGTAGAATCACTCTGGGCATTCACTGGGTTTGAACCAGCAGCCTTGCTGGCACAGACCCCTAGCCTCAGAGCCACCACTCCATCCCTAAGGATGGAGGCAGTAATTATAATATTTATTGGGGGGGGGCACTTCCCCCCCATATTCAGATGTGCTCATAATGTCCCCCAATGTACATTATAATTACAGCCATGCCCCCCCCCCCCCAATGTTGAATACATGGTTACAAGCTTGGCTAAGGTGAATGATTTGTATGAATAAATTTCTAGACGTTCCCTAGAACTTTTGTTATAGTGTGTTAGATTTAGTTACTATGTTTCCTGTGCTGAACCAGGTGCCGTATTGATACCTTGTTTGTCATGCAGTACAGTCCTTACCATTGGTGTCTTTGCACAATTTAGGTGTTAGATGTTGAATATAAAATTAGAGCCTCTTGCTCCTGCAGACAGTAACATAGCGTGAAGCATGGTTCCATAGGACAGGCTATCATAATATTCCCACAACACTTCCATTATGCCACTCTTTCCGTGGAACAGGACACTCCCTTCACTGAAATCATTCATTTGAAGAAAACACTGATTCTGGTTGAGATTGAAACATATTGATTATTTCTCAATTTTCTGCTGCAAACGATGACAACAAGTAAACTGCACAATGTAATTACAACGCCATATAACAGAAAAACAGGTTAAATAATAGTTTAATAATGTTAATAATAATAATGTTAATAATAGTTTTAGCAGCAGAAGTAGTTGTAATAACAATAATAATTTGTCAACATGTTTATTTTCATTTCCAGCTACTTCTACAAGCTTAAACAGAATCCATGGCCGGCTATTGTTAGTACGAGCAGCAGGACGCAAACCGCTTGTCCTATTCAGTGTCCCGGGAGGTCCGGATCCTAACCTAGGTGGCGCAAGCGGCAAGGTAGGGAACAACCCAGAATGGGGCGCCAACGTCATTCAACACTGATATTTGTGAGCGCCTTTGTTTTGTGCTGTCTACTCCTGTTATTATTATTATTTTCCCCGCTTTATTCAACAAATCCTGTTATATGTTAAACGCTACCGCTGGATGTCCGGAGTAGGAATTCCTATGCTCTGATAGCAAATAAAGACTCTCGGAGTCCCGCCCCCATCGATGTCGCGTGTCTCGTCGTGTACCTGTCAATCAGCGGACGGCCCGCCCTCACACCGTCAGCAAACATGGCGGGGTTGGCGTTGAGGCGGTGCGTTTCTCCGGCAGTCTACCTCAACAGGAGGTTGTCCGCACCAGATTTGAGCGTCGGCTGCAGCTACCACAAGAAGGTAAATGTGAACTTCGCCCCCTTCGACGCAGGGACTTCTCTTCCTGCTGGGTTATTTGCTTTGTTTTGGTTAGCCGCCTGTCTGAAGGTCAGTCTTAAGGCCAGTTCAGTTGGCTCGCGGTTTTTTAACTCGTTGTTAAAAAGGACTGAATAATGTCAGTAACTCAGCCTGACTAAGTCTCCCGCATTAACGTTGTTCTATATCCCATATGTGTGAAATGATTACCAGCTAGCCGGCCCGCTAGCGCGCTGCGGTGTTTCCGCCTGTAGCGCGGCGTCTCTCAGCTGCTCGCTCCTCCTGACGCACTTTAACTTTTTGTAGCTGTCCGACCCCCTGGCGAAAGAATTAAAATAAACAAGATTTAAATCCGTACAATTAGTCAGTTATGGTCCCATGTGTGGCGTGTTCGTGTTTACTTTTCATGTGCGTAGGCCTGTCACATTAATCGAAGTTGACGCCTCCCACGGCACGGCTACATGTTCCTTGGCTCGCGTATGAAGCTCCTCTAAACCTAACTACCCGTTTAAATGTTTACATTGCCCGTTTGACTAACTGCAGTGGTAGTTCTAGCTTGTTTGGCGCTCCCCAACAAAAATTGTGTTGATCTCACACCCCCGCCTTCTTGTCAACCAAAAAGGACCATTCGACAATGTCGTTTTTATTAAGACATTTGGAACGATACAAATAAATAATTGTAAAATGTAAAACTAATTTTACTAACTGCGTTAGTACTGTACAAAGTTGGATGTGCACGATTTAATCTATTCCCCGGCTCCTCCCTTCCTCGGGCTTCCAGTGGGGCGACCTGAGATCAGCCGCGCCCCCCCCGCCCCCAACCCCAACCCCAACCCCTACTTCTCAGTGCTGGCCTGCCTATCTCACGCACCAGAATCAGGGCGCCTACTGTGAGAACGGTACTTGACCCACACGGTGACATGATATCATTTATAGGAGCGATAGGCCACCGCGCAATGTCACAACCTGTGGCCTGTACTACGAAGCGGGGTTACTGGCTTATCGGGGTAACTTGTCGGATTTAGGGTAGTCTGGACAAAATGTAAGTGAACGAATATGAAGTCCATTTAAACTGTGGTACCTTAAATCCGACAAGTTACCCCGATAAGCCAGTAACCCCACTTTGTAGTACAGGCCGCTGGGCAGTTGCCTGTGTCGGCCATACTTTGAATCGGCCAGTAATTACTGAATCGATTGGCGAAGTGCAATATCTCAGCCTTTTTAGACAATAAAAGCTTCCTAAATACTCGAATAGGTAAGAAGGAGGAATTGTTTATCTTACTTCACCCCCCCGCCCCCTCAATGAACTGTTCATGGACACTATAGCTTAGCTTCCATATGTAGTAGACTAGTGTCAATTTTAAGTTAAAAGTTTATGGATTGCATACCACATCTAAAACTCCAGTAGTTTTCACTCCAGTAGGTCGTGAGATTATTGGATTCTGTATATGGATTTAAGTCCAAAGCGTTTTCTCTCCATTATAAGAAAGATGTACAATTTGTTAATCCCAAAGGAATTTGCAGGTTTACAGTAGCATAACGCGTACATTTGATAGTAAAAAAAAAAAAAACAGACATTTAGGCAGTAGTAAGAGTATTGAAGGCAAATTGACATACTGAAGGCAAATTCAGTCTGCTTTGTATGTTACAGTAAGCACATTATGATTAGAGAATTGTTTTTGTTCACCTGGAGTGTAACCTAGGTAAGTAACTAACTGGCTGTTTCCTATTAAAGACTGGACAACCATTACTGAAAAATAACTATGATAAATTTGAACTGAAACCATATAATGTTCTAACAAGATATTGCCCCATAAGCCCAATTAGCTTAATTATGAGCAGCTGACATGTGGGTTGTTTTCTAAAACTGAAAATCAGTAATTCATAATTGTCCTTTTTGTTTTTGTATGACCGAGAATGACTCAGCACCTTAGCTCTGAAAGCCCTGGGGTTCTCTGTTGGTTTTTCTGTATCTCCTGTTTATATTTGCCTGATTTATTTTAGTAGGGGTGCTGTCTCCTAGCAACGTAACAGGGTGTTTTTGTCTCAACTAATTTATTTGGCTATTTGTTACACAATCTACCCTTGTATAACATAAACATTATATTTATTTAGCAGATGCTTTTGTCCAAAGTGACATGTAATTGTGAAGAAAGGGTCAGATAGCCATCGGAACATTCTTGGGTTGCCTTGTTCAGGGGCCCAATGGTGAAATCACTCTGCCTGCTCTGGGATTTGAACCAGTGACCTTCCGATTACAGGCACAACCGCCCCCCCCACTGAGCCACACACCGCCCCATGAGTAACATGAGTTTGTTTTGTGACCTTGGTTTGTACGGGAATGGAATATGCTTACAGTAGGAGATTGGTGAGGATTATATATCCGTGTTTTTTGAAGGTGGTGGATCACTATGAGAATCCCAGGAACGTCGGCTCACTGGACAAGAATGCCAAAAATGTGGGGACCGGATTGGTGGGGGCGCCTGCATGTGGGGATGTGATGAAACTGCAAGTAAGATGACAGCCACCCCTTTTGTTTACTTTATCTTTAAATTTGATGTATATTTGATTTATTTCAGTATTTGTATCTGATGTCGTGGGTAAATCAGACTGCCCCCCCCTCCCGCCCCCCCCGAAACACTTTCCACAGATTGAAGTGGATGATCAGGGCAAGATCGTGGATGCCAGGTTCAAGACATTCGGTTGTGGCTCCGCAATCGCTTCCAGCTCGCTGGCGACTGAGTGGGTCAAGGGGAAATCTGTGAGTGGCCTAGTTTCCTGTTCCCACCTGGTTTTTTTTCTGTCTGACTTTACAAGCAGTTTATTTTATGCTCTGGCCTTTTTTTCAGTTTCCTCAGTCGCATTTGTTTACTTGCTTCCATATCCAGTGTCTACTCTGCTTTTCCTTCACTCTTTGGGAACTGATATTGTTTTTCTTGCTCGCAGGTTGATGAAGCCCTGAAAATTAAGAATACCGAGATCGCCAAAGAACTGAGTCTTCCTCCAGTGAAGCTTCACTGTTCCAGTATGTGCTTGTGTTTTGCTGTAGTTTGATATCCGTGTTGTAATACTGCTGGCCCACCCTGAGAGTTATTTTGTGGGTTTTCTGCATGGCTGTGGTTTCCCAGGCTGTCGCAAAAATGTGCCGCATTAACAATGCCATGTTGTAGCTAGTGTAGTGTATTGTACACTTACATTTAAATCTGCATGATTAAATTTTGGGGTGACCTGTGGTCTTGAGTAGAGCCTACAACAGCGGTCTGAGTCCAGTGTTGGTTGCCCACTAGGGGGCGATGTGATCCCACCATGTTTTTCTTCTTAAACAACCGGCATGTGAAACCACACAGATGAGTTGTGTTGCCTTTATTGAAGTGAGATGGGAATCCTGACGCGGTTCTCTTGCTGTGCAGTGCTTGCTGAAGATGCCATAAAAGCAGCGCTGGCCGACTACAGGCTGAAACAGCAGAAGGACAAGGAGCCAGCGACGGCCAGCATCTGAGGGCCACTGCTCCCCACATCCTTCTGCCAGTAGCCAAGGCGACGTGACGTGGTTCCCCACCCCCCCCCCCCCCCCACCCCCAGCGGACCCTGCAGTCCCACCAACCCTCTCTCCAGTTAACGCACAATTTAAAAAAAATCTCTCATCAGATTATTGATGTGGAGTAAAACCTTATTGTTGGGGTTAAAGGTAGAAGCCTTCTATGTGTGTGTGTGTGTATATGTTGGCCTGTTTTCTAGCGCATATCCTACTAAAATATGTCATTTAAATAGAACGTGCAGGAATGTGGCAGGAGGTTGTCAGCACTGTCTCGCTGTGTCGCACTGGTCGTGTGAAAGGACCGATGTTTTACATTCTCACTCTTTCCTTCTTGCCTGAGAAATGTGGTGTGCTGGTAATAAGTCATGTTTTGGACACATTGCCTTATTATAATAACCATATTAAAGCAGTAATAAAGCATCAAATGTGCAGACTTGTCTTTTTATCTACAGTGAAATTATCAGTAGCTTGAGAATGAGGAGTGTGACCTAAAATGATGGTTGTCCACTAGATGGCAGCAGCATCAACTTTATGCAGGCACCAGTTTATGTAAAGAGCAGCTTATTTTGCAATGACTTTAATTCTTGATTGATGCTACTGTAACGCAGTATTTTCATGGAGTTGTACTGATTTGATCTAAGGACGTGTCGTGGATGTTCCTGCTGCGTGACTTCAAGCCCTTAACCTTAGTTAGAAGGTTTATAGGCATGATTTCCTTCCTTTTTCCAATGCAAGTAATTCTTTGCTTTTTATAAATAGTTTGCATTAAAAATTGTGAATATGGATTGTGAGCTGCTGTGGACAGAATTCCTGTGCAGAAACCATTATACGGGTATCTTGTGTGGCCTATGTCTGTCATCTGTTTACTTTTGCTAAGCACAGAGGCTCTGTCCATCCCAAAGACCGCCCCCTTCAGGGCCCCAGATGCTGTCACCGTGGTTTGTGATTGGATTCATTTTTGGGACGTTCTCCACAAGATTCCTTCTGTTGACTGACGGACTCATCTGTGCATAAAATTACCAGAGGAGCACTTCCTAGGACTTGAGCCAACAACCTTCAGGTTAGAATACTGCCCTTTCAGCAACCCTGCTATCAAATAGATTTTTTTTTTTTACTGCACGAACCCAGGAGTAGTTGTATAACAGTGGATGGTGCTGTGGGGAATCCAGTGGATGGGACCAATAAGGAAGCTCACCCCCTGCCCCTTCAGACATAGATGAGTCAATCCAGTACTTCTCCTGCTCAAAGAGGAGGTCTGTTCCTCACCCCCCAAAAACCCCCATCCAGGATCACTTCAAAGCAGGAGATGGGCTCTGGTCAGCCATGGGGAAATTCCTTCCCCGATATTTAAGATTTACTGCTTTCCTCCCGGTTAGCATGACCAACCCCCCCCCTCCCCCCTCTTTGTTCCTTTCCTCCCCACACTCCACGGACGCTTGATGACCCGTCTGAGCTGCCAGAATCCACAGGAACTTACCAAGTCATGTTTCATGTCCAGGTTTTTGTCTTTTTGCTTGAGGATTAGTGAGTCAGATTTCAGTATTTTTTTAACGTATTGGGCCTCTTTGTTTTATTACAATTTAGCATATTTACATCATGTTGGTTTGCCGACACCCATAACTCAAAGTGGCACAACAATGTGGGTGTTATGCAACTTATAGCTTAATAAATCTTACCTCAGTGGCTCTGAGAAGCTATTTTCCCTTCAAGGGACAAGCCTTGAGTGTCCATATTATAAGTCAAGCTCTAAACTGTAAGATCTGGTGCCAGGTAATAAAGGGCAACTGTACGGCTAGTAAGTAACAAAGGAGTTTTGAATTACGGTCAAACGAGAGTGACTTTGAGGACGTGGTGGCTCTGTCCCGCTTCCTCGCACTGAGATGCTACACACTTTGGTGATGTATGCTAACGTAAGATGCGAAACATGCAAGGCGTTTCTTGAAAGCAATTGGACACACTTGAAATATGAAGAGGTGAACAAGAAACGCTGGAACTATGTTATCATTTGTGTTGGTGTTTTGGGGTTGTCCACTGTAGGTTAGGTCGTGTAAATATAGGTTATACAACTTTGCGCACTTAAATTGAAATTTCTTAGGAGATATATTGCACTCTGATATGCCGACAGACTTCCTCGTGTTCGATGTAAACATCAGTCGTCACTGATGTGGTGCATTGTGGTCTATATACTTAGCTGAAGACCACTTTCATGTGGTATTTGCCAAAGTGTGGATAAAGTGCATATTTAGCACACTACACCTGGCTTATCTGAGGAAGGGGACACCCTTGGATACTTCGACAAACGCATTAATGCGCCTGCCAAGTGTGGTAGTGTGTAAGTGTGTACTTGATGGGGTAAATGGGACAAAGCCAGACTGACTGTGCTGCTGATTATACACCTGTTGCCAGAGTATACCTGGAGTTTACCCCAAAGTGACACATTTCACAGATATCAGCATCACTATCTGTAAAAAGATGGGTGTTTGTTCGACAAAGAAAACAGGCACGAATTTAACTAGCAATTTATTTTACATAAGCAAAAAAAGTGACTGATCCAGACCTGCAACACCGTACCAGATAAGCTTTTGGAAGACTGATGCACGGGCTCAGGGTAACGCCACTCAAATGTAGAGTCGTAGTCATATTTATATTAATATACAACGAGTAGGAAAAGGTCTACAGAGATCAGTGGCCAAAATAGGACCGTCCCTATGAGAAATATTATTTTAATTTTGGAAATGCAGAATTCTGAATTGTTTATGAAGGTGTCTTAAAATGCATTTAACTATAAAAACTGAAATGTGCACAGACATCACCTTATTTCATCACTCATCAGTTTAAGCCATTATTATTATTATTATTATTATTATTATGTAATAAGCTGCTTAGCATTTACTTCTATCTAAAGTGGATTAAACAGTTTTATGCCATTCCCATGTACACAGGTGGATATTTTAGCTGAAGCAGGCGTGTGGAGGACTTTGCTGACCACCTCTCTCCATCTGTAGGACATGATTAAATGTACAACAGCAGTGCCCAACACTGAGTTTACAAAAGACATATGTTCATCATTAAGGTTTCCAATGAGTCTGTTTTTCACTCGATCCCCAGCTGGTGCCTGCAGTTCATGATTTTAGGCTGTTGGTTAAACGCTGAAAGAATGATTAAAGATAGAATGAAAAATATCCCTAAATCTGTCAGTGGTGTGAGATATAAACATGTTCTGATAAGAGTTCTCAGAAATAATCACTGGCAGATAAAAGACTGATCGGGCCTAAGATGAACACCAGCATTTCGGCCTCAGTTTAGAAGGCTCCCTTGTTGACCATCAGCGGAACAGTTTTAAGGCCCTTTGTGGTACTAAATCACAGCTGTTTCCTCCATGACCATTTGTGATTCTGGAAGCACAGCTTCCTTCACATCTCCTGAACTTACTTCCTGGTGGACACCTGGCAGCTGGGGGGCACATGGAGCTTCATCCTGCTCAGCTTCCTGCCCGAAGGTGTCTTCTTTGAGGACCTCATCCTTCTTGACGTCAAACATACACTCCTGGGCTTCACGCTGACAGGACTCCTCATTCTGAAGATCACTTGTTCCATCCACAGGGGCCATAATGTGAGCCTCCTTTTCTACCATCTCTGTTGCTGACTCCTCTGGTAGTCCTTTGAACTCTGGAAGCAATGCCTCAGTGACCTTTCCCATGACCTCAGACACTGGACTCCTGCTAGGGCTTCGCAGATTCTTAGCAGCCTTCATAATGTCCACTTGGAGTTGCCTGGCAGAGTCCACAGGTTCTGCACCCTGGGAATCGGGCTGCCGGTCTGGCACCTCGCTGAAGGTCCTGGAACCTCCGATACTGTCCCTTTCGTCAACGTACTTCTGAGCAGGGAAGGAGGACGGGTAATAGGAGCTGGTTTTGCGCTTTCGGCTCACAACGGCAGCACAGCAGAGGAGGAAGACGACCGTCACCAGAAGGGAGGCTGATGTGACGATGAGGAGGAGGTGGTCCTGCAGGAACCCAGCCACCTGGCTCAGGACAGACTGCTCCATACGTGTTCCACTGGAGAGTTCATCAGTCGGGGACACGTATACGGGGCTCGGAGCAGAATACACGGTGGTGGTCAGCCCCTCTGAGCCCGTCTCCCCGCTCCCCTCAGAAGACATGTTAATGGGGAAAGGGGTGGTTCCTCCACACTCATTCAGAAGAACAAGGCTTACAATGGCCAGGTGAAGGGCCAGGGAGTGCTCCATGGTACCCCAGGAAACCTGTACCAAACAAGAAGACAGCTGTTACCCACAGTCCTGGAAGCTGTTCTGATATCTGAATAAAAATGTCTACAAAAATTCTGCACGTAAGTCCTTGTCTGTATGTTCTAATGCACTGCTGAAAGTATTCAAAGAAATGAATATTGTGCTGACCTGGCTGTGGCCCTTTACGGTCTCAGGGGTGGACATTTATCCAACCACTAGAGATCTGGTGGCCCACAAACAGCATTATGAATCTCCAGTGCTGAGAAGGTCAGCTCGGACGTCCTCCTAACTCAGGTCCCGCTAATGACATTCCTACATTATCTGTGGTCGGAGCCACTGCAATGATCACATGATGTTGACTGCAAACTATGTTCACGTTGCTTGGGTCCCAAGATGTATTAGAGTATGCTATGCCTGTCTGGTTATTCATACACTTACATGGCTATTAATGCTTTTACATTTATGTATATGTTAAAATTCACTGCCCTCCAAAGTTACGTTTGTTGACATTTTTCGTCTGTAGGTTTAGTAAATATAAGCTTTTTTGGTCTTTAAAAATCACTGGGCGCGGTTACTGTAGTGTCCCTACAGACTGTATTTTTTCAATAACGGCAGCGGTGATTGACAGCTCAGTTTCAGCTCAAATTCCTGCACATAACTAACAGCACGTTTTTAGCATACGAAGGGGAACATCCGCACAGAAGAAGAAAATTTAAAAACAGCGGAAAGCACAAACGGATTTCTGGTCATCTCCACACTAGCAGGCTTTGTCTGCGGCGGACTTCACCGGAAACGCTCACCGTGTCGTTCTCCCGCGAATGACAATAGAATTTATTGTCTGGGATGAGGAGGAAGTCCAGGTTCTCTTGCTTCCACACAGCTACTGTTTCAGAAGCCAGCTGCACAGTCTGCATCAGCACAGACTGGGACTACACTGATAGCCGGTGTGACCGCTCCCTCCGACACCGGCACACACGGACGTAACCAACGGGCTCAGATCAGAACCACACCCAGGCGAAGAAGGATGAGCAATGGGATGGCAGTATGATCATAGTCGACGTGAGCAGAGTCAGACACACTTAGAAACACTGCCATGATTGGATGGATAGATAGATAGATAGATAGATAGATATAGATATAGATAAATATATAGATAGATAGATACATACATACATACATACATGTATAAATAGAAAAATACATACATAGCTATAGATAGATAGATGTCTGATATTTTACAGACAGACAGCACCGTGAGGTATAGACACACAGAGAGGTAGTAGGTCTGCATAATGATACTCATTCCTGCATTTATCTACAGCAAACACAGGGATCACTGCACCATGCGAATGTTCATTAACCTCCCAGTCCACCAGTTGGTGGTATCCAGTACAGCCTGCAAACGGCTAATAGTCTGAAGAGCCTCAGGACGTCCAGAACAGGCAACTTCAACTCATCGGGGTACTGAGCTCCGGAATGATACCGGAGTCTTTAAGGGCACCTAAGTCAATCCACCGCCATTCATGAGGACATCACCGAACAAGCTGATGATGGATTTAAGGCTGGGGCAAGGTGAAGAGGGCAAGGTTAGATTTCACGCTGAGCAGAACAGGAAAGAGAGGTTCCTTTGCACCGGGACATTAATGTCGGCCAGGATACACAAAGTACAACAAACACGACACACATAACCAAGAAATTTTTTATGTAGTGCCTTCCTCATCAGACATGGGCCAAAGGACACCAGAAGTGTGCAGTGGATTGAAGTAGCAGTTAATGTTACATGGCGATAAAAATATGAGTGGAAATTAAAGCCATAAAAATATGAGTGGAAATTAAAGCCAGGTGATCACAGACAACCTACAAAAACTAAGACAGAACTAAACGGTAGATTACAAGTTGTCGTCGACTTACAACTGAGAGACCGTTCGTAAGTCGGCCCTTCATTTTATATGCAAAACTTATCATGTGTATAGTATACAGTATAATAACATTCTAACATCTTTAAGTCATATTGCTTGATGTTTTTAATCTTTTTAATCACCATTTTCTTAGTTCATTGCTGCCAGCAGTTGGGGCAGAAGCTGTCATACACTCACGCTGGGCTACACTCACTGCCAGACGGCAACATATTTCTGGTCTCTGAACGGTCGTAAAAGTCGATCAGTCGTAAGCCGCACTGGTCATAAGTCGACGACGACCTCAATGTGGAAAAATCTCAGGTTGACGAAGCCCCCCGAAGAATGCTAAACGTATAAAAGCCAGAGCAATATGGAGGGTTCGACTGGGATGGCATCGGTCGGTTTGGGGCAGCCAGTGTCTGCAGGCCTGCTGGGTCAGTCTGGCTCACAGGGTCAGTACCTCCATTATCAGGCCCCCCTTCCTGATTACATTTAGGGTTAGGGTTAGGGTTACACATTGTAGAAAAAACCTGCACAGCACCCATCAGCAGCAACAGATATGGTGTTTACTAAGACCACTGTATCTATTCTGACAGAAACCCTGCAAATCACACATGCAGTAGGTCAGGCTTCCCTGGTTCTGCAGATTTCCCTGCAGAAACACACCTACTAAACCTGGTAATTAGCTGGAGTACTGAATAAGGTGTGTTTGAGCAGGGAAATTTGCAAACTGTGTTGCAGACTGCCCCCCCCCTCCCCCGCCCCTCACCCCAGCAGCAGAACCGGAAAACCCTACTGCTGGTACTTGTCAGAGAAGCAAATCGACACTACCTGACCAGAATGACATCACACTGAAGATTCAGTGGTGATTGAAGAAAGGGGGCTTGTATGGAAGTCCGTGGCTCCTGCTGAAGTGATCTGTGTCTGTTTCTCATTGCTGATGCATTTGACACATGACACGCTCAGTGGAGAGCTGAACAGTATGAATTGATAATTGGATAAAACCTATCCAGCAGTTTGTAGCTGCATTTGGGAAGACCAGGTGTCAGAGTGGTTAGTTGGGATTGTCAGCTATTTTTAAAAGCTGATTTACTCTTCAGGGTTAACGTGGGTTTTGTGGTATTAGGGTTGTTTGTTGAGACAGCTGTGCATTGAGTCAAGGCTAAAGTAAGGATGCGTGTTCTGGGGTTGGGGGGGGGCATGGAATTTTAGAGTCTTTGTAGAATTTCCTGTATCTCCCTCCACTGGGTCTTCTCCTTTCTGGATCTCCTGTATGATTGTTGTGCCAGACTTCTGGGGTAAGCGAGGTTAGATATCCCTCCTGGAAGGAGGCCGACTGGCTGGATGGAAAGCAGGTCGACTGACAGTTATTGGGCCCAGAAGGCCGCTGTCTTGGTGTCACGGGGATTGCAGGATGCATCAAGCCCTCTCCTTCATAAACACCACAAGGACCAGTTATGTAGATCAATAGTCTCCACAAATCTTCCATGAAAAGATTTTTGCTAGTCAAAACAAAATCCCCTAATTACTCCTGTATATGGTTCTCATTTCACAGGAAAACATTCTAGTCTTAGTATTTGTGAGTTGTTTTTGCTATTCTAAAGTGATTTTCTGTTTTGGAGATTTCTAGTTTCCACTGCAGATTAGCGACCCATCTATGCTGGCCTCATCTTTGTCGTGCTATTTTTAGATGCACATTTTTGTGCTGCAGGAAACTCACTCCAAAGAATCTCAGACCTCTGTGAGTACCTTATGGCATAAAACTCTACATTTACATCTCCCTCTCGAAACACGTATCAGGTTTGTGTTTCCACCATGAGAGTTAAGGCAAAAAAACAAAGCTGACTGTAATTCCCCTATAAGATGGAGACTTAGTGTCTGTCCTGGTAGCAGCAGAACTCTGGAAACTGGACCCGGTGTCCCATCAGAACCAGGACCACCCAACTCACCCTGAGGTCCACGGAAAACTTTGAACCCCGAGCCGTTCCACATCCCTGCAAGAGCATGCTTGGCGAATCCCAGTTTGTTTTATTACCTTTTACACAAAACTGGAGCTTAACAAGTCGTGGCTCAACATCTGCTTCATGTTAAAGGCTTGCCAGGGAAATTCAAGTTCTGTGTTACGAAAAGTGTACGTGCATTCACACACAGCCCCGTTTTGACAGGAACCCAACTTTTGCACTTAACTATAGATGACTTTCCTGTGCCTGTCATCCCCACCACCTCTGTGAATGTCACAGTTAATCAGCCCGCTGCCTAGGCGTCCCCTTGACCAGCACTGCGTCCCTGGCTCAGAATACGATGACATGCATGTCATAGCTAAAAAGAATCAACCAGACAATTACAAAAAATCAGTGCCATGACCCCCAGCTGTCACGCGTCTGACAAGCTGAGCGACTTTGGTTACTGTCAACTTGCGGGCATCGTAAGAAAGACCCACGCACTGGTCAGAAGAAAGGTGCCTATTGTTTGAAAAAGTTGCTGGAAAACGATCAAAACCTACTATACACATAACCAGCATTGTCTACAGTTTACATTAAGTAGCTATCAATATGAAATGCATCCCATAATAACCTGCATATCTCTCTCTAAATGTACTGTCCCTGACTCTCCTTTGTTCACCATCAATTCCAACTTTTTACCCATTGAAGTAACTTTAGAAGAGAGATTTTCTTACTCACAGCCCAGTACTGCCCAAGGTGATCTGTGGAACTGGTGAAAATAGACAGCAGTCCTTACGGCCCGTGGAGAGGAAGAGAGGAGGATGGCAAGAAAGAGATGGTGAGGAAGAAAGAGCGAGTTCTCATGCCTTTCGTGTCCCAGTGGTAACTCACGACTGCTCCGGACTGTTTGAAGAATTTCTGGTCTGTAAAAAAAAAAAAAAAAAAAAAAAAAGACAGGGCGCTGCCGGGGGGGGGGGGGGGGGGGGGGGGGGGG